TTTATTTAAATACATTTTAAGTTCTATTGAAATAAACTTTAATTAAAATCTCTTTTAAAACATGGTACATTTACTACTGCATACAGTGGTTTGAGGATTACTTAAGTAAAACATAAGTAAATTTAAAAAATCCCTTTCAGTGTAATTTAATAAATGTTTGGTGGCTATTAACGACAATTACTAATTTCGTTAATTATTTTATTTAACTAATATTTCATTAGTTTTAATTAAATTAACTTCTCTGAGTGCGACAGAGCAACTGACCATAAACAGATTATACAAACAACAGACTAAGTTATGCCATACATGCACTCATAAATCATGTCATTCTCAGGACTAAGGTCTTAATAGGTAGAAGGTAGTAGGTTCTACCTGCTAATGTCTCGTTATAAATACACTATCTGTGTTACCATTCAAACATTCAAACCATCCACGTATATCACTGTATCTGTTCAACGGCAGAAACAAGTAAAACGGATAGTATCAGAAATATAACAGTTTTCAAATTCGTTACAAACGAAACGATTTTCTACCGTATGTCTATTATTTTTTAGAACTAAAGAAGACCTTTTGAATTTTCATCGTGATTACTGTAGATACAATAACACACGGAAGGTACATCATACACGATTCGATGCGCCGCGTGCCATTCGTAAGTATAATGATAGGAAAAAGCGGCGATGGCACGTGCTTTGTTATTCCATTGACCAATACCGACACGACTTTTTACCAAGGGCTTATTTTACCATTAAACTGCTTTCTTTTTATCCATTTGCAGATTAATAATTGAGAAACAGTTAAGGTAGGCACAAGTCTGTACTTTTATAAAAATTATTTATCTACTCAAAGTTTCTTATTTACTTCACGAAATCTAAACATTTATTAGTCTAATTTCATGTTATATAAACCATCTCGGAACATCATTGCGTCACAAATTTATTAGTTTTAGATCCAGATAAAGATGCTATTAGATTTATAGAACATCTTATATACTTAGTATCGTCATCACCAGAGGGTGAAAATTTTAAAAAACGTTATTCATGCCGCATCGGGCCGAACAGTGGAAAAGCAGCCATCCGAAGGAACTTTTTTCTTGACATATTACTATAATAAATTGCACATTCTGCAATTTTTTTCCAGGCCAATCAATTAGGTGGGATATCGTAGTATATTGTTACGTTATTTTGAGCGTTAAGATATACTAGTCATGTGCTTTTCTACAACACAATCACAAATTTTACATCTACTGCTCTATTACTACCCTAATAATGTACCTATATTTTAATTAGTTCTAGCGAAGAATCGACTGTGCTACTAATGTCGAAAATATTTTTGTATCTAAAAATGAAATCTCAACATAAGAATGATAATGCTATAATATACGAATAAATTTACAATGAACATCATCCTATCACATAATATAGGCCTTCCCCAAAAAGAGGAAGGCAGGTTGTTAGTAGTTGCCACGCTTAGCAGGCGGGCTAGTCATAATGAACACAAACATTTTAAATATTTTAAAATTAATATCAAGATAACGCTTTTATATACCTATTATATACTTAGCATTAATATAAACCTACATGGTTTCTAAATGCTAATATAAGATATATTCTATAATTCTGAATTTTCATAATTATAAATGAATAAAAAATTCTCATTAGAATTACTAAAGCTCTATGTAAATAAGTGCTATGGAGGTAATTTCTCATTTAAATTATAGATACATAATAAAAAATTGATACTGATTAGTATCCTTTTAGAGTGTTCTACCTCCTTGGTTCTATGGTTATCCCCAAAGAAACATGGGTTAAGGAACTATGTTTTTTTTTTAGATTTTCGCAGTATAATGCTGTAAACTACTAATATAAGGACGATGTCCTATGAAGTATAAAATTTCAACTTTAATATAAACAAATCTTAGTATGATTGTAGAAAGGAAGAAAATATTAACTTCTAATGCTAAGTTAGGGATATAATGTCATGAAAGCCTTTCAAACACAATTGCAAGAGTCTGACACATGTCGTGTGTGTTTGCGCAGCTCGTTTGACTACAAAATTGTGCAGAATTGTCGTCACATAAAATCTTTTCCGTGACATCATGTCTTCAGTCAGACCCCAGACATGTCATTACGATCACTTTGTATAGAACTAGAAAGGTTTATAGTGCTTCCTTTACAGTTTTTGTTTTTATTATGTTTGCATATTATAAATATAAAAATATACCCTGTCGAGATTGATTCAATTTATCTCAAATCTTTATGTATGGAATTATAAAACAGAGCTCTATTGCTAGCAATATACCCTAACAGGTCGACCTCCACGCGGTTCCCCCGGGAAACCGTCGTGGTTAATTCTTATAGTATTCATCATCACGATGGGAATACTGAGCTGTCTCTATCCTCACCTATCATTTCTCACTGGTGCCCCGCCAGCGTATACTGTTAGCGCAGGAAGAGTTAATTAATGCGCTAATATGTTTAAAAAATCTCCCACACTTAATATTAAACTTCTAGACCTATGAATACTATGAATATTCTAAATATAATATTAATATTCTAACAAAGTAAACCAAAAATAGAATAGATATGTACCTAAAGCATAGTTAACTTGTCACTTAAATTTTCTAGTTCATGTCAGAACTGAATGAAACATTGTTAGCTATGAATAGGGGAACTATCGCCGCTCTTTTTACCGATTACTAAAACGTAGTCAATATTTAAAAAATGATCTCATACTTTATATTTTTTTACGGTCGTGACAATTTTTTGTCAAAATTTTAAGTGAAATCTTCTGTAACCGTGCAAGACGTATACTTAGTCTGTTACCAAAGAAATATCTTCATGACAAAACATATTTTAATTTTTCTGTATGGTTCAGGCACAAAATGGGTCATCCCTTCTTTTCCCGTAGGTGTCGTAAGAGGCGACTAAGTGGACTTTATGGTCTAGGGATGAGCAGGAGCGTCCCTTTTTAAAAAACAGCACCAAAGCCTAACTGCGGTTGCCAACCTCCCTGCCAAGCATAGCAACTATTGGCCAAACCCTCCAATTGGGGAGGCCTATGTTCAACAGTATACAGTTAATGGCTGTTATGATGATGGATGATGATACATATACTACCCATTTTATAAAATGTTTGTGAAGATGTTTAAATGTTTATATGGTTATACACTAAATCGGCTGGATGAATTTGAATGTAATTTTATACTCGAATAAGACAAAGTATACTTTTTACTACATACAAAAGATTTTAAGTATAATAAATACCTAACTGATTTCGCTGTTTAGGGTATTTTAAAAAGTTAATTTTGCACTAGTTTTATCCCACTCATTCAATTAAAAGATTTTTTACACTACTTAGAATGGCATACGAGCTGAAAGCCCACCTGATAGAAAGTGGTAACCGTCGCCTTTAGACATGAGCAGTACTATGCACATAACAGAGTATACTGTTTCGCCCATGATTCCCCCCATGCGTTGCCATTTCTGAGGACTCAGGTGTTATTCCTCTGTACCCTGTAGATGGCTGGAAATTACTGAGAAACAAGTAGATACATTTTGATTTTATATAATGTATTATTATTTATATTCTTGCCAATATAATCAATATTGAACGTGATAACCCCGTAAATAAATGCTCTACACAAATTAAAAAGAAAACACGACTTTCGCATCGAAATACAAACTTTATACGGGTAGCGCTCTCAAAAGATATGTTTTAATTGCACCGCAACAAAATCTATTGTAAACAAAGTAAAGGACATGACCGCAAAGCATCGCGTCGTTACGGTTGATCGCCGATATTGGGCCGTCAGCTACGAAAACCACCTGCCAGCCCTAACTGACTAGCTGTTGTTAGGTTTGCATTTATTACATAGTAGCGTATATTCTCATATTGCTATATATGCTCCGATAAATATAAAAAAATCATAAATAAATATTCAGCTACTTTTCTTTGTTAGTTGTTACATACCAATTTTAAAGACACAGATGAAATGACAATAAGTTACAATGATATTTCAATGATGAATAAAATTATAATACTAAAACAAATCTTTTCCTGTCTAATTAAAGGACAATATTTTAAATGGCATGTTATTCGAACAATGTATTTTTTTAAAACTTTAAATGTGTACGGTCAGATTAAGTTTTTTTTTAATAAAGTATAGATACCGTCAGCATGAAGGAAATCGTAAAAATGTCTCTGTAATCAATATCCTATGATAATGTATTAATATAAAAAAAACTTTGTTGCAATGCAAATGCTTTTATCTCACACTCAAAAAAATGAAGTTTCTAAAGTTTTCATTATTATTTTTGGCTTAGCTTGACCTTAATTTATCAGTAAATTTAACAAAAAGTTGTATGTGAATATACTTAAGAATAAATAGATTATTTATAGTAAAGATCGCCATTCCCGAAACGAAATTCAAAAATACGTAGGTTATATTATTACGAGTAAGGCTCTTATTAGTCATTAAAAATATGATGAGGTTATTTTAACAATCAAAACGTGACTCAAACAATATTATAATAGGTACGTAGACATTTAATATGAACTTGATTAACTTTCTATAGCGGTTTCAATTTATATCAAATCGATAGCCTCAATGACTTCAGTCAAAAATAAAGCTATTTAACTATCTAATCGTACGATCACTTCCTGCAGCCGTAGTTATCGATGAAGAGATAGGAGCATACACAGCACCGATGACCCGATCGCGGCCTACCGCCGCATCTGCGTCGGACTGTCATTCAATCACAGATACTCCGCAATTTCTCCATGCGAATGTCACGGTAATGAACGCGCCTCGCCGAACGATAAAACCCAATTCTGCCCTAATCCGATGCCAATCAACTATGTAGATCACGAGATTGCCGAATTGCGAGGCGGATCGGCGATCGTGTCGTGAGAACGATAAGGTACCGGCGAACAGGTGGTTCCCTCCCCGGCGGTGGTTAACTGTTCCACCATCATCAACAGAGCGAGCCGAGCGCGCCACCGCGCAGTCCCGTCCCAAGACGTCGCAGGCGCACCACGCTATCTGCTATAGCTGCTGTGCGAAGATTCGAGTAGAGCTGCGCAAGAATACATTAACACGCGCGGGAAATATTGCCAATCGCTTTCGTAGTGCGAATGTTGATTTTATACGAACTTTTTATTAATGTGCCAGTGTGAAATACAAGAATATAAGTGATTAGTTATATTTAATAGACTTTAGTATACATAAGAACAGAATTATAGTTAAAGTTTTTGTAGTAGCGTCGGTAAGCTAATCGGGGCAGATAGTATTAACGGTTGGCTCCGCGCTCGAGTGTGGCAGACTACAAGCATGACGAGTGCCACCGTCTGCGCTTGCGCTCTCGTGCTTTTCTTACTAGTATGTTCATAGCAAGTATTTAATTAATAGACACATTACTCACAACTAATCACTGAATTAGATTATTTTAATTAAAATATTTATTTTATTCTGAAAGTAATGTTACCTTCGTTAGATATACCATAATAAATATATTTATTATAATTGTCAATATATATTGACAATATCCCTCACTGACAAAGGCAGTAAAGCAAAAGCACAAATAATAAAGTTGTAGAGAGTAAGAGCATTAACCAAAACGATGTGGCTTCAAATCCCGCCCATTTTTTGGTAAAATTTGAAAAGTGGAATTTCATGTTTAGCACTATAATTACAAAATACGTTTAAATTTAAATTTACTCATCTAAAATTGTAGACATGATTGTATTAATAGAAAAAAATACCGGCCCGCCCGCCCTTCATCTCCGTTCAAATAAATTAATCTCATAAAGTATGTAACTGTTTTTATTTTTAAATGGATTTTGTTTAACATAGAATAGAAAGTTTGTGTTTATATTGTGTTTTATATATTATTTGAGCAGTAACCATTTATTCTAAGGAAATTACAAGAACTTTATAGCAAAGTATTAATCTCTACGTTATTGAAGGTTCTTAAAATCTATAAATGTCGCTATGAAATCTACTGAACTTAACTGATTTGATTTAAACTTTCTGCAATACATATAACAAAGTAACATTGCTGTTGCCCATGATTCTAGACTGCATGTTTTTAAAAAAATATAACAATTTAATTACAATATAATTATATCTCCACAAATCTAAATATTTTTACACTGTTTTTTGGTATTCCCTCTACAGAGCACTTACGATCAGCAGAATCGACTTACGATCTTTATAGTACATGTAGCTCTATATGAACCTTTGATATATTCGATTTTTTGTAGAATATAAGATATATTACCTACCTTCTAATAAAACAAATAACTAAATGACAGAATTATAGTAGGTACTTATAATACAAATCTACACAAATTTAATTAAAAATGAGTAGATAATAGAGAATATTATAACATAGAGATTATTCTTGTACTTATCATTACTTTTTGCGTCTTTTAAATATTTTCAATGAACATTTATAAACTGATGTTAGTATGAAATTCACTGTTAATGATTTTGTTTTTGTCTAATGTGTCAAGTGAATATGGAAGTGCGAAGCACTGATTAAAAAAACAGAATATACTATACTGCCTAACAGTGATTCAGCAGCCATAACAGACATATCAAAATATGTTCCTATATACCTATCACACTTTTATAATTAATTTTATACATTACAATGATGTCAAGTCGCGTATTGGCAATCAATGGTCTTATTATAATTATGAGTGACCAAGCTATATACCTACAATATTAATAATAATTAATCTATGGCAGTTTCATTTAATAAAAATGTAAACAATTAAATAATTTACCTGATCATAAAACAGTTAACTTACGTCTAATAGAAAATAATACAAATGAAAAAAAAAATTGTTCAAATGTTTCTATTTGTTAAACTTGATTATCTTTTTAATAAAGTTTATTTGAAACACTATAATATATATCCGTATACCTGCTTGGTATTAACCAAATTCTGGAAAAATAAAGAAAAATATTTAATTCAATAAATATCCAAACATGCATACAAACTTTCATTGTTGGGATTATAGGACGTGGGACCAAGTTGACATTTTGGACTCTTCTTTTTTAAAACCGAGTCTTTTTTTATTCGTAGTAACATACAATTACCTATTCTATGGTAGTAATGAGTACGTAGGGAGGTACAGGTACTTACAAGTGTTAGGAAGAGAGTTGTCGTCGGTTATTTTGAAACTTTCTTTATCTGACCATTTCTAAGTACCAAAGTGACACAGATCTGCATCGTCGCTAACTCTATTATTATCCTTAATGCATGGCTATAGGAATAACAATAACAACTTAGCCAGCCAATAATAAAGTAAATCTCTTAGTGGACAGGTACCGTAAATAATACACAGATTGACCTGGACTGGTTATTGTGACCACGTGATTGGAACCGTTTATAAAATTAAATTTCACGCTCCGTAGAATTGTATGAAACGTTCAAAAAAGCTTTGTAAAGCAGAGCTGAATTTAATGGGCAGTCGTCGCTATAACCCTGCCTGCGTATGAATAGTCTAAGTATCTAAAAAACGTTTGAAATCTGATGATTCTGTTATACTGTGTCCTCGAATCACAATTTTTATATTCGCATTTCTTTATTCTTGTTAACTATTCATCTTGTTCTTAATATGCAAGTTTATGTTGAAAACTTGGTAGGTTAACAAACTCGTAGTTTTCTTAACATACTTATCAGCATGTCGTTGAGACAGTTATAAACATATACTCGTAAACGTTGCAGTATGCAGTATGACATGCATGTACAGTCAGCAAAAAATATGTATAAACTTACTTAGGTTTTCAAAACCCACAATTTCTATGAACTTATATATTAACTTTATTTAAATATTTGTAAAAATTTATTAGTATATATATAGATCGCAAACTTGTAAAAGTTTTTTGGAAATTTACAACTGAGTTTGTACAAAGATATCTACAAGGATACCTTTGTAATCGTGTTTTGCTCCCATTTAAATGTGCTCTTATGACTCTGTCTTGATTTGAAATGTGGGATATGGTAATTAAATTACAAAGGTATTTTAAATACCACATACACTTTAAAATAAAACTATTATTATTGAAACTAACTTCATTATAAACATTGTAAAATAGATTTTTTTTATAATACAATTTCGGCTGAGAAGAACCGATAAATAAGTCAGACGTCGCTTTTTCGAATATAAATTAAATTACAAAAAAAATGTGAATGCATATAATGATTATCAGAAACTTTATATTGATAAAAAAAAAACAACAATCCATTACAGTGGTCTTGAACAGAACAGTCTTAATCTTAATCCTCATAAATGGCTCACACAAAGACACACATGTGCACTATGAGAGTCATAATCTATTCTGTGATATCCATCCATGGTATTGTCCAAGCATATAATATAGACAGCAATTACAATTTTTCATCAAGTAAATTATAAGTTTGTCTATGATTCCAACTTACATAAAAATATTTGGATGTGTTCGTCTAACTTGTTGTTGATTGTACAATATGAATTCTGAAAACGATGATTGCAGATTTTTATTCTCATTTACATGAAATATCTGCTGGCGGTTTTGCGTACATGAAATAAAATTAAACTATAGAGAATATGATTCTTTTGGTGTTACATTTATTCAAATCTATTCACTTTTAATTAATAAATTATCCTTACACCTTTACAAATTTAATATAATAATATTAGTAGAAAGGTTGGATTAGTGGCATTTATGATTTTTTTTTAACATACTATGTGTACAAAGTCTTCAAGAGTTAATAATCGTCATAACATCTAAATATCTTGACCATGTTGACCTGTATGCTCTAATTTTAACATTTACTGTATAAGTACTGTTTATAATTATGTTCAACGTGCGTTAAAATGATACTTAATTATCTTAACATACGTAGAATAACGCAATAAATATAGTTTCGCTTTCAGTCATTGAGGTACTATATGTGTATTCTTTCCATTGTCTTTTTAACGAATTCCAAACGAAGAAGTTCCGAATTCATCTGTATTTTTGTCGCTAGGTTACCTAATTACTTCGCTAATTCTGAACCGACTACATTTTTTTAGTAATCCACTGTTTACTCCTGTCTAATCTCATATTAATTTTACGTTGATTGATATTAACTTTTTTGAAACGCTTAAAAAACTTGAATAGACACGATTTCACTTTCTAAATTCAAATATTTTCAATTTAATATGTACACGAAATATCTCGTCTTTCATTTTTGTCACGATTGAAGTTGCTCTTTCTTTTTTTAATATTGTACAATTGAACGTTAGTTGTTGATTTAAATATGTGTTAGTTTTCTGTACAATTAAGATATCTTCGAAACATGTCATTTTTAATCTTTGCTTTTAATCTAGATTATAACTATCAAATTTAAAGTTGATATTTTTTTGTTTACACAGCAAAATGTCAACTGTCAGTTGTACCTATATATTTTAATTAAGTACATACATTAAAAAAAATAATAAAAACTTCAGATTTGTACACGTGAGTAGCACATTAATATCTACAAATCAGACATTTGATCCTAGTCCTAACTATCAAAGCTACTCATGCGCTCCGGATGGCATGATGGAGTATGTATATGCCACACGCAATGTAGCTAATCAATTACCGCGTCGGACGTAACAGAACTGTGACTCACATTACAACGGAAAAATTCTATATACATTTATTACCACTTTTTAATTAAAAAATATTAATAAAAATCAACAATTAAATTTTATTAATAAAGACGACGTAAGTGCATGCAAGTCTAATTGTATATATTAGTTATATTTGTATTGTACCTAATGATTACGGAACTAATATAATATTATATGTAATTAGTTTTAACGGAAATACTCGACTAATATAAAAACTAACGATTTTTCAATTTAAATATAGGTAAACTGTCTTTTTATTAGGTGCGTATAAATACTATTTATATCAATTCAACCAAGTACTTTTCTTTATACGAATGTTACGCAAAACCGTCAACATTTCTAAAAAGATTTTAATGTCTTTTTTACCGAAGCTCTTTAGAATTTTGAAAAGCTCCTTAAATAATTATTATCTCAGCGGGGAGTTTATTTGGTTTAATAATTTGAATTCATGCGAAACAAATCTATCGTATCACACAGTAGACGATTCCAAGATGTCAACTACGTCCATAGTTATCGTGAAACCAACCTTGGTCTATCTATATAATGTTTTATAACTGTCAGTAAATAAAAAATTAAAAAATTTACTGGTCAACGGCAAAACTAAAATAAATATGTACTTATACTATTACAAGAATACTCCAATACAATGCGATTGCATTGTATTGGGGTATTCTTGTAACAGTATAATTTCTGAAATTTTAAGATAGGGAGTACATATGTGATCCT